CGTGAGCTGGTGTCAGACCAGGTCTGTTTGGTGCTCACATCATGACAAGACTTTCGGATCAGGTTGAGGAAACTGTGGCCCAGCGCAGCTTATCAAAGTTATTTTTGAAACTGTTGGTTGTTGAAGATTCAACCACTTCCTTGGGTAGCTGGTTCCACAGGTTTACTACTCGGTTTGAGAAGAACTTAAGTCTTGAAACATGTTTTGCCCTTTTCTTTACAAGCTTAAGTTCATGTCCTCTTGTTCTGCCCTGATGTGTCACCTCAAAGAACTGCTCATGATTCACTTCTACTTTTCCAGTCAGGAGCTTGTAGGTCTCAATCATGTCACCTCTACGTATCCTGTCCTCGATACTGGATAGTTTTAATGTACGGAGGCGATCCTCATACGACATATTTCTAATTGCCTTTACCAGTTTGGTTGCCCGTCTTTGCACCCGTTCCAGAGTCTTCATATCCTGGACAGTGTGTGGACCCACTGCCTGGATGCAGTATTCGAGATGGGGACGAACATAAGTGGTAAACAGTGACTTGAAATTTTTCACATCGATCCTGTCAAACGCATTCCTCAGGAGACGGAGGGCTGTCATTCCTCTGTTGGCTGCCCATTGACAGTGTCTACTTGGCTTTAAGTCATTTGAGACAAAGACTCCAAGGTCCTTCTCTATTTCGGTCTCTTGAAGCTTTACGACGGTGTCATTGGCGTCCTTCATAAAGTAGTCTGTCCTTAAATTGTCCGTTCCACAGTGCATTATCTTGCATTTTCCAGGATTGAGTTTCAAGAGCCAATCCTTTGACCAATCACTCAGTACATTCAGGTCTTCTTGCAGCCTGAGAGGATCATGACTGTCTTGTAAAGTACTGTAAATCTTTATGTCATCAGCAAACATCTTTACTTTACTCTTCAACAGGCTCGGTATTTCATTTACATAGACGAGAAACAGGATTGGGCCCAGTACTGAGCCCTGGGGGACTCCGCTGGTCACTTGACCCCAGTCAGAAGCCCCTTTTCCCACTACTACTTGTTGTTCTCGTCCATGTAGGAAGTCACTGATCCAGTTGAGTATACTTCCCTGAACTCCATAACTGTACAACTTGGCTGCGAGTCTTCTGTGTGGAACACTATCGAATGCTTTCTGGAAATCCAAGTAGAGTATATCCAGCCCGAGTCCTTCATCTATTCCTCTTGTCCATTCTTCAAGCACCTCCAGCAAATTTGACTGACATGACTTGCCTTTCCTGAAACCATGCTGATGATTTGACAATAGATCTTTTTCTTCGAAGTGACGCATTAACACCTGTTTAACAATTTTCTCCATAACCTTACACACCTGTGAGGTGAGACTTACGGGTCTGTAGTTTCCCGGCTCACTTTTTGATCCCTTCTTATATATTGGCACTACTCTTGCTCTTTTCCATTCTTGTGGGAGGCGTCCTTCTTCTAGGGTCTTGTTGAATAGCCTGGCAAGAGGTAGTGCCAGCTCATCTGCACATTTCTTAAGTATAATGCTTGGGATACCATCCGGTCCGGCTGATTTGTTCGTATTTTGTCTTTCAAGCTCTTTCTTTACCATTATCTCAGTCACTTCAATATTTTCTATGGTATTATCTGCATCCACCCTGGCAGGACATAGTGGAATTGCATCTCCAGGTTCTGTTACAAACACTGATGTAAAGTATTTTTGAAGAACATCTGCTGTTTCCTTCTCGGTTTCAGTAAGTCCCCTTTCACTTTTTAGTGCTTGTATTACAGGTCTTGTTGTATGCTGCATGCGAATATACTTGTGCAGTTTCTTGGGGTCTTCTTTGATGCTGCTTAGCAATGATCTTTCATATTTATACCTTGTCTCTCTTATCAAGGTCGTTGTCTTATTCCTCTGTGTGGCATACCTCTTATAGTCCTCCTCTGATCTTGTTTCACAATATTTCTTGAATGTTTTGTGCTTGAGTTTGATTGACTTGATTATCTGCTTGCTCCACCATGGTGCTGTCTTTCTGTTGGTTCTCTTTTTGTGCAATGGTACATTTGCCTTCAGGCTTGTCTCTAGTGCATTTTTAATACCGCTCCACATGATTTCTACCCCAGCAGATTCCAGAAATCCCCAGTCTACTTCTCTTAATGACTCCTTAATTTTCTCAAAGTTAGCTTTGGCAAAGTTCCGTTTGGTACAAGTTTCAAATGTCTTGTCTGCATCAGAAAATTGGTAGTTCCAAGTCAGAACCGCGTGGTCACTTTTTCCAAGTGGATCTTCTGTGTTAACTATATCAATTGCATTTGAGTCATTTGTGAAAACTAAATCTAGTCTGGATGGAACCTGACCCATTCTGAAGCGTGTAGGGCCACTGACATGTTGACATAAGTACAAGTCATTCATGGTTCTCATGAACTGGGATTGGTCAGAGTCATCTGGGCCTTCCACCGTCCCATTTTCCCAATCTATGTGAGCGAAGTTAAAGTCTCCCAGAATCATTACTTTCTTGGCATGTACTTGAGGAACAGCCTTCAACGTCTCCAAAAGTTTTTCATTATCTTCATGGGTATTACTCGGGGACCTGTAAATTAGCCCGACAAGTAGGTTATCATGCTTGCCCAATCTGATGGTGCACCAGACAGCTTCAACATCTCCATGCTTTGTTTCACTAAGTTCCTTACACTCTTGGACTTCCCAACTCTCCTTAACCAAGATCATCACACCTCCTCCTTTCTGTAATCCTTTTCTGTTTTTGCGGAACGCTTCATGGTAACCTGGAAAGGCTATATCTTCTTTTTGCCAGATTTCTGTTATGCCAACAATGTCAGGCTTTGCACTGTCAATTTTCACCCTCAGCTCACCCAGCTTATTCCTTAAACTGTTTGCATTTGTATACATGCATGATAGGTGACCTGTTTTCCTACTTGAGTTAATACCTGTCCCGAGGGACAACCTTTCCCCGAAAGATTCGATGAGTTTCTCTTCCTTTCTCTGCCAGTTCTTCCCTTAGTTTTCTCTGTATTTCCCTTTCTTCTGGGGTCTGGTCTCGTGAGAGATAAATGTTGCTGAAGCCAACTTTAGACAGATCCCATCTTTTCCTCATAAGGGCTTCAACCTCTTCCTTCTTCTTCAGGCCCACAAGCATTAGCCTCGGTCTTGGTTCTGCAGCTCCATCCTCCGAGATCTTCTTCTTTCCCAACCTGTAAACCTTTTCGATCTCCATCTGCACATTGTCACCCAGGAGAGCTTCCACTATGTTGTGGAAACTATCTGAGTCATATTTCTTCCGCTCTGACGGCTCTTTTGCCTGACTCTCGGGTACATTGTGGATAATCAAGTTCAACTCCCTGCCTTCTTTATCTTCCTTCTTTTCTACAATTCTTTTGAGCTCTTGCGTGCTCTTTTGTAGCTCTAGCTGAATCTTTGGCATTGACTGCACAATTTCACTGTGCTCTTTGAGAGCCTTCTCAACCCCAACCTTTTGGTCACTGAGCTTCGATGTTACTATCTTTTCTACTGAGCTGATTTTTTCCTCTACCATCTTGCTTCGCTCTACTTCCGAACTGACAGTCTCTAGGACTCCCATGATTTTTCCCTCCATCTTTTCGATCTTTGCTTCAATTTTTTTGCTCATTTTCAGAGTGTCCATGAAGTTTGGCCTGCAGTTTTCACATAGCCAAATGAAGTCGTAGTTTGTCAGAGCTAGAAAAGCCTCTACTGTTAGCCCCTGGCACTTTGGATGATACCATTCCTCACAGAGGTCACAACTCACTGAGTCCTCCCCATCCATGATAATAACCCCACATACCTTTTTTCCGCCCTTGCAGACAAACTTCGTTGGCTTTACCTTTGGCGCCTTCCCTCTTTGCACTCCCACTTCACTGTCTTGCTTTTCTTGATTTTCCTTCTCATCTTGCTTCAATTGTGACGCAGTGGAGCCAGTCCTGGCTCGCGTAGCCTTTGCACTAGACATGTTTACAGAAGTAAATCTGCCTCTATGTTTGGTCTTAGATTTGTCTCTACTGTTTCAATATTGATAAACTGATCTCAAAATTCAAAATTTTGTGAACCTTTTTATAGTTTCAATACTTCATCATTCTGTCAATACACTTCTTGCTAAATACTTCTCAGTACTTGGTGTTCAACACTGCTACTGGGACCACAGCGTGGCGAATTCGGCGCACGTCCGGACTGGGCGAGGAGGGGAGAGGAAGTGAGGAAGTCTTGGTGCCATGATTATCCCCAGGTGGGTGTACTGTTCTGTTGCTTCAATCACTTCGTTTCCTAGTCGCCAAGTAGTGTCATGTGCTCTTTTCCCATAAACCAATACCTTGCATTTTGTTACATTGTATCTATATCGCCAGAGACAGCACATATGCAGTTTTTCAGATTGATGTGACATAAGTGCATGTAGGTATGGCCTTAACTTTTGAATTCATTTTAAAAGAGATAAAACACAAAAACGTTTTGCATTTATTGCTTAGTCATGGGTGTTAGAGTGCGGTGTTAGAGTGTGTAACCATTTTAAAATGAATTCAAAATGAAAAGTTAAGGCCATACATGCACTTATATGTCACATCTGTCATTTGATAATCCTCAACATTTTCAGATTGAGTTAGCATGGTAATTGCTATGGACTAATGATACCTTTGAGCATTCAATAGCACTTTGAAACTAATTAATCACATTGCAAACACAATGTTACATTGCATGCTTTCACCGAGGCATTTGCAGGGACAACAGCAAAACAGGGCGCCTGGGGCGATTTGATCAAGGCTCTTGAAATTCTCTCGCACAAACCATGTGACAATCACTGTGTGGTGTAGAGGCCAGATGGCATTGAGAAGGGGAAAACTTAAAATAATAGTTTATTCTTAAAAACAAAACTTTATAATTAATTATCGTATAAAAATAAAAAACTTCGTGCAAATTTCATGGGAACGGTCGGTTATCATGTGACTCATATGCCCTCCGGCCTCAGACGCCCGGTTTTCAGATTCCACCATGACTAGCATCTCGTACAACCCACCTGATCTGACACTCTTCTCAGGAACCTTCTCTTTTACAGCCACCTTCTTAGTTGTCTTGGTCCCTGTGCTCTTTCCAGTTTTGTTCTCCTTTCCTGAAGCCTTGGCCTTCTTCTCGGTCTCCTTCTTGGCATTCGCCAATGCCTCGAAAGGATCCGACTCATCGTCGAGGAATAGTGAATATTTGTTTTCAACTCCTATACCGTAGGAGTTCTCCATTGTTCCTCACCGTCCTCTTTACGAGGATTTCAGGTAAATATAAATGGCACTAAGGCCGCTACCGAATCCGATCCATGCAATATGGCGCGGCACGAGCAAATGGACGTCACCCACGTGCGGCGAACATTTCCTACCAAATGGTTTTTAGCATAATTTGATTCCAGATAAACTGCGAAGTGCGCTGCCCAAAAAAGTTTGAAATAATTTTTAAAGAAAAATTGAATAAATATTATGCTTAAACAAGCTAAGAATTTTTTTATCAGATTGTGAATAACGATAACTGAAAGTCTGTTGCTCATTTACTTCAATAATGAACCGAAACATCTTTCCAATGAATAATCCTATGCAGTAGGCAATAAACGCTAATTTTTGACGGTGTATAAATTATTTTTTGGGTATTTTTAGCTTTTAATGTGATGATAACTGCAAATTGACGAGAATATATTATTGTTTAGATAACCCAGCGGCGCTGTAAAGTTTATTTTGCCAGATTGTACTTCCATTTCATACTATGCTTTACACTAGTTCTAGTTCAATATTATCCCATTTTCCCGCCATTTCATAGGACAATTCACGAGCCGAGGGGACTAGTGTGTGAAATGGGCAGTGGGCACTTTCATTATTTGCTGACGCTCATTGAAAGGGGTTGTGCTTATTTCTTGCATAATACCTGAGATGACAAAATCGCTGCCGTGACAGCGCACTTCCGCACATGGGCAAGCTGCAGGGCCGCCGCACAAGTAGGTAGGTACCTAACCAATCAGTCGTTTGATCGCGCGCACCCACTTAGCAAACTTCTCTGATAAAACATCTGCACCGAATGACAAATAGCAAATGAAAATAGTGTGGTAAAATCGGTAGCCTTCGACCAGTCCACGGCAATGCTTCCATAGTCCAATCAAGCATCACCTACGCGACCAGAGCGCCCTACGCCTCAGCGACAAGATAAGAACTTTATAGATGACGCCACTAGTATCTTCATCTGCCGTGAGTGCTTCGCACTGCCTGACCTGACTGATGTCAGCCAGAGCGAAGACTTCGCATCGTGTGTAAGTAAGAATCAACAATTGGCAATCTGATCCTAGCTGCATTGTGGTCTCAACTCTCAAGGTGCGATTCATGGATGTGGTGCGATAGCCGCGGAGTGCTCAGTGCTGGACATTAGAATAGCCAACAACAATGCCAAACAGGAAGATAATATAATAAGTAATTTCTATTATCAAAATTTATTAGTAATTAGTAAAAGAAGAATGTAGTAATTTTACACTGGCTGAAGTGGCTATAATGACTGATAACACTCTCCTAGAGATCCTAGACAATGCAATCGTCTGTCGTTTGAGCAATTAGTGTGATGCTAAAAGCCGTCAAATGAACTGGACTCCGCTTTGACAGGACAGCGCCCGAAGTGGCGGCGAGCTGGCGACCCAGTCCCGACTGACTGAATGGCATTATGTCACGTGAACGTCGAACTCCGGAGATCAGATTCACGGATTCAGCCGCTAGGCGATGAGGTAACCGTGAGTACCTACTGAGGTATGTACGATCGTACGGCCTGGAACCGTCAGCCGGGTGAGTTATTTCGTGTGAGCCAAGTTTATGGGAATGTGTATTCGTACCTATAGGCAAGTATGGCAGTGTGCGTCATGCCCATGTACCCAATCTCATCATTTATGATGTAGACACTTCACGGTGACTATAAAGTATAAATAGTAGACTTTAAGACTAGCATGCTAGATACCTAAGGAGCTTTGCTTTCTACGCCCTTTTTCCTAAAACGTTACCATGGACGCGATTGGCATTCACTAGAGCTCGGAAAAAAACAAAGGCTGCACTCAGGCTCAGCCATCTGCGGACAGACCTGTTTTGCCGCAGTGGTATGCTGCATGTGCAGCGTGCAGTGAACGTGCTCCAGCCTATATGCTGCATCTCGGGACTGCAAGTGGTGTTTGCCTCCGTTTTGCGACCTACCTATAACCTCAGCCTGAGACCCGAGTCCAACCGAACTCCCTGCCATCATACTGGATTAAATAGTGACGGTCTGAACACGTCACGTAAAGCATCGCTATGGTTTGCGTGCAACATGTATTTACAATGAAGACGTCGCCGGGCTACCCGGCTCAAATACCAACTCATATCCCATCCCTCCTTCTCTCAGTTGTTTAACGTCCATACGATATTCACGCGATCAGTCATACGATACGGACCGACAGCGCTCACCACGGTACAGTCGCCCTCGGCCAGTGTTGAACAGTTACTAAGAGATCACCGAACGCTGAACGGTGCAGACAGTGCATAAACCGAACGGTGCCGACAACAGTTCACACCAGGCCCGAGTACTGTACGGCACACAGACCCTCCGTCAGCCACACGGAAGTTCGCCTCGGTTGGCGTTTGATACTTTGTGGGTACGGCTAAACCTTCGTTACAAATGGGTTTACTTTACGCAGGCCCTTTCGTATACAAGCTCAAATGGGGGATGGAGCCAAATAACAAATTACCGATAGCTATTGCAACACATTCCATCACATGAAATCATAGGTATTTTGACAGGTGAACTGACCGAATTCGGTACAAATGGCCACTGCATCGGCATAACCCAGTCGTTGAACGGCGTCTTTGTTGAAGGCATCGCCCCGAAAATCGAGGCCGGTTCGTTCCAACGCCGCAGCAGGACACGACACTTTGTCCATCGAATTTCACATTTCTATTTAAATAGATAATCGCTCTCAGTCCTCACTGACAACTGCAGGAATCATCAAATCGGTTTATAATACACACTAACACAGAGGCTCACAGTGACCACAGATAACCGCGCTAACAACATCATTTCATCAATCATCAATCAATTAGTCATCATTCGCTCTTAGTTTGGAATAAGGTATGCCCATATTCGGGCATTGATGTTGGATGGTTGTGACCCTTTTGAATAAGGATTCGTGCAGTGTGGGTCAGTTCAGTTCCTATTCCAGTTACCTATCATCTATTCTATTCACCGTGCGGTAATATACGGAGAGGACGATACTTCCTCATACATCTGCGATGGTTTCCATTTCCACCCAGCGCTGCAGCGAGTATTTTTTTACGAGTATGTATTTCTATATTAAATGCACCCGGCGTGCGGCGGCAGTCGGGATAACCTCCCTGTCCCTCCGATCGCCTCAGGCCGGTGACTGGTTACGGGCACCTCCTCCCTCTCTGCCCTCTGCTAGCCGCCGAACGGCGAGTGCCGGCCGGGACAGGGGTGCGCCGCCGGACTGTGCTCCGGCTCCCGCGGCTCCTCAGTGACCTCAATGTCACTCTCGGGGTGCACCGGACTGCCGGCCAGCTCGCCGTCCGCCGGCGCGCACGGATCACCGACGTCGGTGAGGTCCGGGTGCGGGTTGTTCTTGTTGGGCAGTGTCTGCTCGCGCGTGCCGCCACTGGCCAGCAGCTCGCGCTCCTTGGAGTTGCGCCACTTCATGCGCCGGTTCTGGAACCAGAGCGCTATTGCATAAAACTTACGACACCGGATATTTTACGAATTGTCTTAGAATCGTACTTATTCTACGCCAATCTGTTTCACAAAGGTCTTGAAAATAGTACGGAGAGCAAGGAATTTACTCCAGCACGTGACGTAACTTTTGGGGGTTTCTGTTGCATATAAGTTAAGATTTAAGAAAAAGTAGTTCGCCGAAACGCGCAGAAAATGTCGCAGATGCGCCAAATGTGTAAAAATCGTAAAATATTCTACGGAGGGGGTGGGCTTCTTAGATTTTAGCCGAAAGTCGGCTATTGCAGCTGTTTGACGCCGAATTCCAACTTTTTGAGTCCTTATACAGTTATTACGGAGCGAGCGAAGCGAGCGTAGTCTTTCCTTAGATTAACGGAAATTTCTGAGTATGAGCGGCCGGCCGGCCGGCCGTGGTCACGCTTTTGCGAGGCTTATATCTCAGCAACCACTTGACCGATTTACACGCGGTAATTTTTGTAGGGTAGCTTCATTCCTTCTACCAAGTATTGGACTATTCCCGATGCATGTGGGTGACCCCTTATGCACGTGCCACGTGCAAAACGAAGAGGTGTCACTTTTGTAATTGTTGCAATATCTCGGTAACTACTTGGCCGATTGCGCTGAAAGTTGGCATGTAGGTAGGCACCCACTAGGCACTGCATATACATGTGCCAGAGTTGGGGTGCTGCTGCACGTGCGCACGTGCAGGGGTCGTTTCCAGATCTCGAGAACGGCTGGACCGATTGCGCTCAAATTTGGTACACGGTTAGGGACCGGTTAGTAGGGTGCCGTGCACAAGTCAGTTGGGACCCATTTTGCACGTGCGCACGTGCAGGGTGCCGCTTCCAGATCTCGAGAACGGCTGGGCCGATTGTGCCCAAATTAGGCACATCGCTAGAGACCAGTTAGTAGGGTGCCGTGCACAAGTCAGTTGGAGGTACCCCCTCGCAATTTCGCACGTGCAAGGCCCACCCTCTCGCTCGCTCCGTTAGTCGCCCCAAAAGGCGTTATACTGGTTAATGTATATGAAGGTAACTCCTTAACACACTGATGCTTTCTTATCCTCGAACAATTTATAGAAAGACTGCAACCGCACCTCTCATTTCTCAACCAATGCGATAGCATGATATAAGCATAGTCGTACCCGACAATTGTACTACAACGGTGGTGACTGACGTTAGACCACGCTCGTAGCTCGTTTGAGGAACTGCAGACGCATTAGTCATCAAACATATCAGCCGTGTCGATGTTTATTTCTGGTTCCCACATTCCGTTGACGATTTTAGTGAACATCCAAACACACTCGCCTCAGATTCTAGCACGTATGTATGTACCATACGTATTCAGAGAACGTCTGTGCACCAATACGGCCGCGATTCAAGTTGAGCTAGAGACCCACGTAAACTTTACATGTCACTGTAATCGTAACACGAAGAGCGCTTTTTAACCCTCGCCCTGGCAGGGGGGGGGGTCGATGCGACCCCCCCCTAAGGTTTTTCGAAGATAGCGTAAAAACGGCGGCGCGCAGCGCCGCCAAATTTGGCACAGCCTATGGGGCAACCTTTTTACATATGACCTGAAAATTTCAGGTCCGGGTGACCTTGGGTCAGGTCACCAGGTCAGAAAAACCGGTACAAGGTCATGGTCAAATTTCAATTTCCTTTATGCACCTGTCCAACTCACAGTTTTCGACTGATTTCCTTCAAACTTTCAGGATGTGCTAAGTTCACCGAGTTGTATAACATATAGTCCGTTTTTTTAGGTCACTGACCTGAGGTCAGTTAGAGGTCATTACGTCGTAATGTTTAAGCCTATGGGAAAATACTAAATTCGGAAAATACTGGAGATATCCGCTTCGTTTTATCACTTTTGTGCTTTGAAACCACGGTACTTAACAGCAGGACACTTGGTGCTTCTTTGTTTGGTGTACTTATCCATGGGTCAGGTCAAATGAGGTCAACTGAGGTCAAATGACGTTTTTGCCAATAACTTGGCACATAATGACGCTAGAGCTTAAAAAATGGTATCATTGTGTTCCTGGTGATCAGCCGAATCAAATGATATGCGATATGATGCAATTTGGTTAATTTGAACTTAATTTATTAATTTAAGTTTACTTAAAATTTAAGAAAAACTTTAAGTACACTTGAGCAAGCTAAAAAGTATATCATTCGACGCGCCTTGACGTGCTGAGTTCACTGGTGCTTTTCTTTTTGCTCTATCTTAATTAGATCAAAAGTTATAGGCGAAAAACTTTTGACCTGTTTTTAGCGAAATTTTTACATTTATACCCCCCAAAACCCCCCTAAATATTGACCTAGAGCAACCAAATTTGCACAGGGGCGAGAACTCCGGGGGGCCCACCTACCTACCAAATTTGGTGTTTCTAGGTGCCATAGGAGCCAATCGCGAGGGGGGGGGGGGTCGCATCGACCCCCCCCCCTGCCAGGCCGTGTTATGAAAAATGCCCTGCCAGGGCGAGGGTTAAAAAAGGGAACAAATGATGCTGAGCTTGCACAGCCTCACTTTTCCCGAGTGCGCCAACACCGGGATAAGACGCTGCTGATAGGACGATTTCAACGAAGGCAGTGACTCTTGGCGTAGCAGCCGCCATCTATCGGCGATTTATCAGAGCCCTCTGTCGGCTGAACCCAGCGGGATTCTTCAACCTTCATGTAGAACAGCCGAATGCCGTGGTCAGAAGACTCCTCCACGAAGTCGGATAGAAATTCCTGAAACAGAAATAAAGATGTCGGTAAGTATCAGAAAGACTAGAACGAATGGATTGAGAGGAGATCATTTTCGAAGGCAAAGTGGCTGACAGAGCATGAAATAGGAGAGAGGACTGAGGGAATCAGGAAAGAGGCGATACATATAGACAGGGGCGGAAAAAGTAAATCGAGCGAATAATGAACTTTTTATGACACCATGTATCTCCTCGATCTCAGCCTTCTTTGAATGCAAGCATAAAGGTCTCTGACTGTGCCCTGCCCTGCTATACTGGTAAAAGCCAATTTTAGCCAGTGCATTTAATTAAATTTAATTAGCCAATTTTAGCCAGTGCCATTTAATTAAATTTAATTAGCCATGTCATTTAATTAAAGCCTGTGAATTGAAAGTAATCAGCAATTCACTGGCAGATTCAGAATAGTCCAGTAGGTATCTAGATGCTATGCTGATATGCCCTTAATGCTTACGTTTGAAACTGAAAAATATCACGCAAGCCCACAGACGAATAGGTAGGCACTTGTAATACCTAGCTTAAATGCATTCTGTTTTGTGCCTACTAATTCAACGCGCGAAAGCATGTTGCTTGCAAATATATAATTAAACGTAATTTTGTGGATATTTAAATGATTTTAATGATAAGACACCTGACACCATATCAATATGATATGGCATTTCAACATACCTAATTGTAGATAATGGTGAAGAAAAAAGCGACAGAACATTGGAATGTTGCGAGTAATTGAGGGCTGAGGCTAATAAACACGATGCCAAATTCAAAATACACCAAAAGAAAATATAGATCAGGAATTGTAGCGGCATTAGCTTTAACCATTAACTATTGAAAAAGCTCACGATTGGTCTGAAAGGGCTGAGCTGGAGCAGTGAGCAGTGTGCTGCCAATGAACCGACAATTGTTCACTAACCATTCGCTATAATAGAAAACTTACTTGTTAGTCTGGGCCCTGGTTATCTTAATTCTTCATTTTCAGCCACCAAATGATGATCTTGTTCGATCTTGCAAGCCAACTGGACACTTGTCTTGAAATTCTTCTTTGGAATGTTGTTTACTTTCGTAACCTACCTAGCAACCACCGGACGGCGAGTGTACAAATCTCAGCTTACTTAATTGGCGAAAGGTGGCAGTAGCAGCTACGGCACTGTTCTAGACGGATACAGTGCACTCAGTTCTATGCAAATTTATGTAGAATATCGACTGAAACCCATAGTGAGGGCAAATTATCTATGATCTTAGAATATCCCACACTCCCAAGATGCCACGATCGATGTTGTTTACCAAGCCGACCGCCGCTTGATGTGGGAGGGCGCATGAATATTGAAAAGTACGAAAGGTTTTCTAAAGTCGCTATCAATTCAAGGTGATTTGAACCACTTATCCAGACAACGTGATTCACACATTTCAGTACACTGGAACTTTAATCGCTTTCATTATTGTCACCATTCTTCTGCATTTCGTGCTGAGATCCGGCACTATTTTCATTCATGTATGACGTCATACCTAGATTTTCCAAATATTTACGAAGTAGGTCACGGCCTTTATGCAACAGGTTTTACGGTGTTTCGTAGAGTATGGCCGTTTCGTAAAAAAGTTAAGATCTACTCCGGTGGCGTAAATCTTATGTTTATGCAATAGCGCACAGATCTTCACCTGGCGGAGACACGGGGTGGTGAGATTGGGGAGCGGAGAGATAGAGTCGAGGCACGGTGTTCATAATATAACCAGTGCAATCGGCAATTATCGGCACTCGATGAAATATATAGCCACATGATCGTCTGTCAGCAGAAATTAGAACAGCTTTCGTCGATATATGTAATACTGCAACCGATAAGTAGGTAGGTATAGACAATACCTAAGTATGAATTAGCGACAACATTGTCGACCATAGTTAGCAACTACTTAGCTCTTCGTAGTTCCTACTTCTACATAAGGCATTCGTAACCTATGGTCCCAGCTATGAGCCTGCTCCAATAATTCCTCCAATAATTCCCATTCGTCGTCGAGTGGTGCGGCCACTGACTGGGCCCAGCCCACAGCCGTCGCCGCTACCTGTCAGAATCCTCACAAACGAGCCGGCCAGCCGGCCGCGACACCGCCGGGCCAATATTTGCTCTCATAAAAACCGGTGCGGCAGAATTATGACGTCATAAATTGGCCACCGTTCGGCGCCACAATAACAACAGGGTCGTGGATCACGTCGGCGGCTGGCTCTGACGGCCGCCCGCCTAATGGAGCGGCGCCCATCGAGCCCGGCCCGGCCCGGCCCGGCTCGAGGGTGGCCCGGACCGGACCGGGGGATCGGCCCGACTCGTCTGGGGTTCTCAGGTCCGCTGATCGGCGAAAGGTATCGGCTCTATGCACCGGCATGTCTCTTGTCGGCCGAATGAGCGAATCAGTTTTGCTAACGAATGGCGATGATTGATCGACTCTGCGAGGCACTGTCAATGATTTGCCCGCTTCCCTTTACTTTGATTTGCTTAGTTGTTTGTCGTCCAGTCAAGTAAAACGGGCTTGTTAGACCAATTGTGCTATGATTAACTGTATAAGCATATGACGGTGGTGACAGTACCCACTCGAGTGGTCATAATATCGTAATAATATTATTGGCCGTCATGCTGTCTCACAGTCACTTGAGTCGTAAGAGCCACCTCTACGCCTGAAAGTAGGCTGTACCGCATGGCTTGGCTGCTTTGCGGCGCAGTCCCAACTAACTCTTAAGTTACCTACATAAAAAACGGCAATCCTTATCGTAGACGCTGGGTGTGAGGCTGTGAGCCCGTTACTTTCTTACGCATTCATTCATCAATTCATTCATTCATTCATTCATCCATTCATCCTGTCATATGTTATTCCCGTCGATATCTATTTCTTATGCTATTTTTTCCTGAGACAACCCTCAAAAGTAACGGAACTGCAGTGGACGAACGAACCGTCCATTTCCTGTCGTTCCCTATTGTTTTCTAACGACTCATGTAATGCCTAATCCTCATCAGAGGCCCGCCGAATGCCGATCGAAGCCGGCCTGCGTCACAGCGCCGCCCTCGCGGCCCCGCTTCACCCCTCGTCCGCCGAGCCTATTTTTCCTCCTATATTAACTTCATACATTCACGCGGGGCGGCGGCTGCCGCCATTATTGGCTGGCGACATCTGGCTGCCAGCCGGCAATCTCCATAAAATTGATTCTATAAACCACACTAAATTCATATTTTTACACCAATACGTCAAAACAGTGGCGCTTTCTGCGCGCCGTCCGAGCGGCCGGCAGGGCGGCGCACGTGATTGAGCAGACAAATAGCCGTTTATGGGCCTCAGTGGCGGGTCATTGGACGCACATTCGACGGCCCGCTGCCAGCCCAGCGTCGGCCATCTTGGCTCGGCTGCTCATCAGATTGACCTGTCACGCGGCGGAGACACGGCAGCCGTTCCCCGAAGAACGGCCGGCCGATGGCACCGGGCTGCCTTCTGACGGCCCATCTCTGCCGCGGCGCCGCGGCCGATCGGTATGCTGAGTGGCTACTTAGACGGCCTTATGACGTGGTTATGCAAAGAATCGAGCGGTTATCGAGACCATAGGCACCAGCCGGAGCTCGTATGTTACCGGGAGCGCTGAATGGCTAATTAGATTTCCCCTGCGGTAAATCGTGCCCTCGTGATTCCACACACCTGTGAATCCTTTAAGCCGAGTTTTTCCGCCAGTTTCTTGCGATCTGGCTTGCTGATGTACTTTTGCACCTGGAATCGCTTCTCGAGGCCCTGTCGCTGCAGGTCGGAGAACACGGCCCGGCGCAGCATTCCGCGCCGCGGCTTACCTGCCGGGTCAGCCAACGGGTCAGGTTTCTCAGCGGGTGGATGGGCTGGCGTTGAGGGCTGCGCTTATAGACATGCTTGTAAAAGTATATGTACTAGTTTAGCATATACAAATGGCTGAAGCGCGTGTTCCTTACCCCGTGGAGACGTCGGCCAGCAGGAGAAGGTGCCGGCCAGAGGCAGCATCGAAGTCGCCAAACGGTGACATCCGGATGTCGTAGGAACTGGAAACAGCGCATCACTGAGTCAAGGAGCCATTAGGTTTGTGTGTGTGTGTGGGGGGGGGGGGCTCGGGCATCCTTATCAGTTAGCATAGTCTCACCCCAATAAAACGTAGGATGTGTTTGTAGTTTTAATTTAGAATTCATACCGCGAACCTAGATGCATCGTTACATAACCGTATGCTTATGCGGAACATTTATTACCGTTATGCACACGTTTTCACGGCTAATTTTGCATATCTCGATTCGCTTCGCGTTCAAAGGCAGCTTTCATCGCGGGGAATAAAGGTCTGAGGTCGTTTGTGTCAGCGGAATGCACCAGCTGGTTTTCACGCTGCATCTCCCAAATTGGTCATTTCTGGAGCACAATGCTGACTGGCCTACCCTCGCGCCCACTAAACCCACATTAAACTCTTATCCCGGTGCACAGATAGCGTGCCGAATTCGTCTTTGGACGGCGGCGTCGTGCAGTCGCGTCGCGTCGAATCCGTGCACACGGGATGAGCCACCGACAACTGAAATCATGAATTATTTAGCACGTGACACAAAGCCCATGGCGGCGCGTTGTCTCTCGCCCCGCGCGGCGGACGTTTCACATTTAAATGACGCACTGAGCGGCGGCGGATGCGCTGATGTGAAATTTCACGGTGTCTCGCGCCGCCCCGCGCCGATCGGGGTGCAGTTCGCCGCCGACTCGTGAACGGTCGTCGCTCAGGGACCGATCCTGGGGCGGCAGCGCGCTCAGAGACATTGTCAGCGAAGCTGAGACGGTCACCAATGCGGCGCCTGATCTTATTTGGTGGGCTGAAGGCTCAAATGGTAAGGCTTTTTAACGACGGGTCTCAGGTCGCTTTTAAGAGGAAAATATTTGCTAACATAAAAATGCCACTTTTGCTCAGTGAACATCAACCGTCAGCAAACAATGACTTTGCGATTCTCTGACAAAGTTCGATGAAGGAACAGCAAATTCCAGGAATGCGATTAAATCAACTATCAAGTAATACCTGTACGTCCTTCAGGTGGGTTTGTGAAAATTCCGTTGGAATGCCTCTCTTTCAACCCTAACCCTTTCACCTTTCAAGGACTGTCCTTCCTACGGATTACTGATCAGACACCTTAGTTGAAGAGGCTTTTGATAGAAGAGTTCGTCTCGAGTTTCATTTCGAAAGCGGTGAAAACCGATTTATTTGGCCCTCTTACATGCTATAATTTTATGTGTAGGTACCAAAGGCTAAAATAACATCATTCAATTATCGTGTCCATTGGAACCTCCAATGCCAAGCTGGTATCAACTGAAGAGAAAACACGATTGGAGCGAGAAGTTTCCATGAAACGAAAAGAGAACTCGGAAACCCCATATCAGGACATTTAGATCCAGCTAAAAGACCACGTAGCGCTGAAACGGCCTCCTCAGAGCGTTTCAATGGCACATTATGAGCCGCAAAACTCTCCACTAATTCAAGTCATGCACTTGAGTCGCCGTCTAACTGGCCATAAACGTCAGCGACAGCAAGCAGCCCGATTGCGGCGGCCGCTCCGGCTGGTGTCACTAAAGACTCATAAAGACCGGCATCAGGGCCCAATGAACAGAGCACCTCCGCGGCGCGTAACTCAGCGGCAGCCGGGCGACGGCCGCTGCCCATCGCTCGGCCACTTTGGGCGCACCCTGGGCCCGTAAATAACAAGTTTGGCTATGTCTCAGCGGCAGCCGTCGCCGGCGACCGCGCGGTGTCCGCAGTCGGACCGATTTGTGCCGCGCCGCGCCGGCTGGGGCGGACACGACTGCCAACCCGGCTCCGGACGCTGATTTCTCGGCGGTCAGAGCCGGCGACCGGTCAGCTCCAGCTCCGGTCTCTGATTTCTCGACGGCCGGTCACCGCTGCGGCCGGGAGCTGTGAGAGTCGCACAGCTCACGGTGCGTAACGCAGCGTGACGGGACCGGGGCAGCTGTCGCCGCACGGCCGCTGCCAACTGGGCGTGACGCATCGCGGCCGCCACCGGATCATGGGCTTTTCGCCGCGAAACAGATTGTTTTGTTAGTGTTTTATTGGCGATCGGTGTGCCCCCGCGGGCTAACGACGCGCCCGCCGGCCGCATTGTGCGCCTCCAACCGGCTGGAAGCGCCCCCCTTCAGATGGTAATGAGCGCCGCGGGCCGCGCGTCGGCCGCGCACCCTGGCCAAACATACACCCGCCGCCGACACATATTATTCCAAGTGGCCTGTCGAGTTTTTACATGGGCTCTTTTGGTGATTTAGTTTATCCAAGGCTTATGACTGAACGGGCCCGCCGTCGGGCGCGGCGGCCGGCCTACCCTGGAGGTCGCCGCCCACGGATCGCCTGCCGATGATCCCGCCGCAGGCCCATTGTCGGCGAAAGGGTATTTACGGATGCTATAGGCTTAGTGCACATTGTCCACGTGAACTCCAGATAAGCTATGACCCATGCGGCAAAAAGTTCCTTTTAAATGGATGGCGTAGAAAAACAGTGAGAGAAAGCATATATCGACGAGCGGGAAACGAATAATCCTTGAAGCTTTGTTGGCACATGGCACTATACTGAAGCGATAGATAAAACTGAAACAACATGGCACTGCATTGTGCACTGATTGAGATGGGATGAGAAGAAGATGCAGTTATGTTCTGGCGATGAAGACGCCTCCAGAAGCGGCACCGCCAGACGTCACAGCCCCCGTACCTCAGGGTCATGTTGCGCCCTATCGAGTTCGGACTTCGGCTCATGCTTATTTCTGGATTACCTTATCCAGTATTAAACACCAGCAGCCGAAATGTCAGAAAAATGAATCAGACGGCGCAGAACTGCGGAGAGCGGCCAGGCTGTTATGTGCTGCCCTCACCAAATTCGTCGTGCAGTCAACGTGCAGCCAACGGTGTATATTGCTGTTGCACCCGATCATGATAATACTCTGTTATCTTACCCGTAGCATAGTACTGGTCTGTTTCAGCTGCGTGCGAGTACATAAGACAATGTGACTTGTCTTAGTCTCACCTGTAAGGTATGTGTGACCTTTCCATATCTCACCTATAAGATAGTGTGTGACTTTCCCATATCTCACCTGTGAGATAGTGTGAGTCTGTGACCTTCCCATATCTCACCTGTGAGATAGTGTGAGTCTGTGACCTTCCCATATTTTACCTGTGAGACAATATTATCTGTCTGATCTCTCACCTGTGAGATAGTGTGACCGGTTGGTCAGCAGGGAGTGCAGCGGTGTGTCGAACAGCGACCTGTACAGAGGTTTGGGCGCCGGCAGGCCGCTCGGAGCGCTCACCGCTGGTCGGTACGGCGTGCACGTCTCTGAAATACAGACAGTGCGAACGGTTATTGAAGGCAACGAACAACTGCTATTTCATAATGCCTCCGTGGGTCGTGACTTTAGTTCCATGGTGAACATGGAGACGTTTGGGATATTTTCAGGCAGACCAAATAACGATCAATAAATCTTTTCTATTGATCCATCTTGCTGTCATTGCTTCTGACAAAACAAAAATATACTCCAAAACTTAAATCATAAATGAGCGAGCAAAGTAATCAGGTATTTTTCACTTAATAGCCGTTTTCTGTTGCTTAACATCAGCCAGTAGGTTTTATTCATAATTAACTTATCTTTATGAACTTTGGTACGATTGAGTCCAGATGCGCCGCGCTATGGTGAAATAAGATTATTCACTTCAATCTAAAGGTTGATTAGCGGAATCTTGTAGCTTGAAAAGCATCTATCCGATTAATTGGACAAAACGATATCTTACTTTCCTTTGATTATAGATCAACTGTGGGTTTATTTGAACTAATGAACTTAATTGATCATGGGTGGAGCTTTTCCGGAGAAATTGGTGGTGCCAAAGGTCGTCAATCCTACAATGTCCGATTGTTAAGTTGAATGAAATGTACACTGACTCAAATCTTATTATTACCGATAAAATATTTTACATTAAACAGCCATTCCAAAATTACTCAATGTGAAAAAGATTGATTTGCAAAGCAACAAAGTCATTTAAATCGGCTAAAGTTGATGGGACAAAACGCTTATTGGTGGGGCAAATTGTCAAGTTGGTGGGACAGCCGGTCGTCCAATTGAATAGGAAGCTCCGCCCCTGAAATCGATGTCTCTACCTAAACAGCTAACATTTCACCTCCGCCCGCACCCATGTATCATACTGACGAATTATGTAGGTATCATGCTTACATGCGTATTGCGTATAGAGTATAGAGTATAGACCAACCACCCGGGAGCATAAAGGCGTGAACGTTTGAACTTTGATAAGAAGCGGAGTCTGCATTTATCGGAGGCGACGTATACAAATATTCGTGTTTTGCCGGCGCTTCGGCAGCAGCGGCCGTTTTCAGGCACCGACGACCGAGCGGCGGGCGGGCGGCCGGGCGGCCGATGCCATTCCGCCTGGAATGATGCTGTGCCGCGCGTCACGTGTGTACTGCGGTACAGCATCACACACTCGCGGTGCGCCCGCCGCAGCCGCCGTGAATGAAGCTTATTTCAACGAGGCGCCGCTTGGTGTCACCGAAGCATCTATGTACATTCCTAAGAGTAAAAAGTAAACATGTCTCAGTTGAAGAACTGGGAGAATCAAACTGTTGAAGGGTTTGATGTCCATTTTAGTCCACCATAAGTCGCGCGGCCTCAGAAAGGGCAGCAGACAGGCGTTCGGAGCTGATTCTGACGATTCGGACAGGCGTGGGCCGTGGGTGCTGTATTGAATGGCTTTGAAGCTTGATTTGCGCGCATCTGTCTGACGGTGAATGCTTACCTTCTCTATTTCATTTGGTTGCTTTCTGTCAATGGTTCCGTATCAGAGCCGTCGCCCATCTCGAGTCATCCGGCTAACCCACTTCGTTTCGCACTTGCAATTACTGTCTAATAAAAAGGAATCTAAGGAGTACAGGACGCATCGTTGCAGAAACAGTGGATAAACAACCTGATTTCAAGCTATTCAGCAAGTTACTTTCTTATCTATGCTTAGCCGTATCATTAGACAAATGAGTAAGATGACACGAGATGAGAACGACAATGGCTCTGTTACGAAACCATTGAGACGAGATGGAAACAACTGTAATGGAGAAAGCAAACAGTGGCCGTCACCGTCAGTTAGATAGGTGCCAATCAAGGTCACTATATTTAGTACAGCACCTTGCTCATATTCTTGGACAGGGGTGTTTATTTTTAAAGTTTTGACCACTTTCCTTCGGATATCTACCGCAGCAAAAACAGCCAAAGTAATTACAGATTTAAGACCTTGCTTTTAAAGAGACTATCCCACCTTTAACATGGGGTTTGAGTTGAGATAGCCAAGTTTGCGGCGAGGTTCAGAAACCACTATCTATCTAGGTTGCAACCCCCGCGGCCTCTTGGTGTTGAAGAAATTCGTTCCCTTCATTTGAAAATGGGCCTTGTACAAGGTCCTATCTTCAACATGGAGCGACCGTTAGTGTGACGTCACCTCGTTTAGTCATTCTGATTTAAATGGGTTTGTTCATTTGAAAAATCGCTTAAAACTTGGTCTGAACTTTGTTGTGGTGCCTACAGAGTAAAAAGAATCAGCTTTATGACAGTAATGTGGCCTGGGGAAGGAGGTAATTTTGGGCTGTGACGTCACATATTTGAAAGTTTGTGTTTGGAATATGGGAAGCCTAAGATGTTTAATGAAAAATAAATGCCAGAACCGTGTTCCTGGTCATCCAATCTATAAAGTCGGGCACAATTTACCTGGTTTTAACAACATTTTAGAAGGTGGGATAGTCCCTTTAAACCAGATAAACATTTCTATTAAAAAAAAGAAAAAAGGCGATAGGCACCTAACTTGGGTATTCTGTTCACAGGGATAATGACTTGCAACGTTTGTACTACGGTAGTATAATTTGCTGCTGCAGTGTTAGATTTATGAAGAAAGGGTCCCCGGTTACCCGGTATTGGTACCCGTTTGACCGTTCAGCTTTAACGAATTGCCAAATGAAGAAACGAAGTCAACGCTCACAATTTTCATCTAAGAATTTTCCTTTCGTTTCGTCGTCAAAACAAAGTTTTGAACAAAACAAATCATAGCTTTCTTTTTATCCACGTAACCGTAAAACTGCACGTGATTGGGTGAAGTCTGCCAAAAAGTGTGGCTCTCTGAGCGGCTTCAGACGGTGGACGTTCTGTGCTTGCTTAGACACAGTTACGGGGTATACAAATTACTAGCGGTGCTCACTAGTCACTGCTTACCTTTTTTCGGCGACGCCTCGTGGTCGTCCCTGTCGTCGCCGAGAATGGCGTTCACGCTGAATTTGAGCACGGGCCGACACCGCTCGGTCAGTCGGTCCGTCAGTTTGTGGTCCGACTCTCGGCGCTCAGCGCTGTCCGTGTCGGCTGTGACGCTGCCGATGGCCGGTGGCCGCGTGGCCAGGGGGTACACCAGGTGAGGAGGTCGCACCCGCAGCAGCTGCTCGGCAGAGTAGGGCGCCGCCGGAGCCGCCGGGGTCGCACCGAACCGCGACTGGCTCAGCGAGGCGTAAAAACTGGACAGCGGATACATTCTGTCTCCGGTGCGCTGTGTTCGCCGTCCTCCGCTGCAGTTCCGCCTCCTTCCACCGCGATCGTCGCACAACGATTGAAACATGAATACATGGAGTCGTCATCGAGGCCCCATATCGGAGTCATCCGCCGCTTGTCGCCGGAGATAGGCGGCCGGCCGACCAATGAGCGGCGGGCCAGCTGGTGAGCCGGCCGCTGATTGGTCGGCGCCGGCCGTGATGGTGGGCAATGGCAGCCCGGTGCAGCCGAGCATGGACAATCGGCGAATTATTGGCTCGGCCGATCGACGCTGCCGTTGACACGCTCGTTTTGTTGGCCAAGCAATCAGAAAATAATAAAAGGGTTGGATTAATGCGCTGCTGGCGGCGTGGTGAGATCGAGCAGACAGATTCGCCGAATCACCGCCGGAATATGGTCTTCGGTGATAGGTATGACACTGCCAGTGGTCAGTAGGGAAATGATGTGTTACCTACCTTTAAAAGGAATCCCTTTTGTAGATAGCATGCGTATATGTTCAAATAAATCTTCACAGGCAAGTTAGAATTGTTTGTCTTGTTAAGGCTTCTCAGCAACTGCAGCTTGCAGGTCGGGTAGGTAAATAATCGCATGATTAGAGAAGCATTTTTGAGATACCTATCTCGGAACATGCTGGCGATAGAGAGCTGAAACTTGGAATACCTAACCTTTGATTCAAGCCGGATCTTTTGACACCAACTGCATTTTTTAAGTCAAGTCAGGTCACTGGCGACGTCACGTCATAAGTAAATCTCTGCATGGTCCTGAAATGTCCCAGCTTCGCAGAGCCCTCAGTGCTAAAGGAGCTTTCACAATTCACATGGAGATGGACCTTTACCTTTCAGGACCTAGTATCCACCAGGGATCTCACAACTTGCATATCTCGGATTTTTACAGGTCACCTGATGTCAGGTCGGTCACATGACCTTACCAAGACCTTACCTTACTATTAGGTATATTTCAATCGGAAAATATGGGGGCGTTATTTTGGTGCCGGGAATGATCTAAAACTACCTCAAGCACATTATTATTATTATTATTATTTCATTTATTTTCACCAACCACAGAAACGTGGGCGTTACGGTGAAAATAGGCACGAGGTAGGTACATACATACAGTTCACCAGGTACACAACACTTTACATGATCCACGTATGAACATACCTATTAGTACCTATGCATGTTACCTACAGGCTACATGCACGTTACATGAACAGACTCAAACTGCCACCATATCAATATTCTCCTGATACAAAGAAGTAGTCCTCAAACGTATAGTGCAGTGACTGGCGAGTGACATCAAATGAAACACTGGCAATTGCACACGTTGAAACGATACATTGTATAAGTACGAGCATATGACCGATAATCATGGCTTGTCAATGTCTGCCTTAGTTAGAATGTACTTTATTACTTCATTCTTTGAGGCGTTCCTCACTTGTGGGGGCAAGCTGTTCCAAAGCTTAGAGCCTTGGTAAGAAAGAGAATTTTTCATGAATTCCGTTCTTGGGGCAACAAGATCAAGGTTCTCTGATTGTCTTGTGTTACGTTCAGATTGTCGTGTCATAAAAAGCGTCGAAACGAGAGGCGTTGTACTTTCAGGAAAAAGCAGACATTGGCGGACAATATTAAGAGCAGCAATTTTATATTCCGTGGCAAGATCAACACGCCATGCCACACTTTTGCCTTCGCGACCCGCGATTCGCCTGGCAAATTTAACAATCTTAGCTATATGTCAATATGTAACTCCCGATCGAATGGAGCTAGCGAGTCGGGAAAGCCACCAATGGATTTGTCAAGACCAGCCAAATAGAATGATATGCAATGTGACCTCCTTCGACCAGCTTCGTGACCTGAGTGGCTCTGACCTGACCTTGACCAAAGGGACCCTCCCACCTTCAAAAAAGTTAATGAATTGGCATGAAAGTGATGTTGCCCGGTTCAGAAAGAGCGAAAACGAATATCTCCCAAATTTCATCGAAAATTATTCACCAGTTTTCAAGATATTAGACTTTTACTTTTGTTTACTTTTTGGGACCTCTGCTGTTCCTAGCGACTTTATTTGAAAGTGCGGCATTTGTTGCGCGCAAAGCAGCATATACCACTGCGTGCTACCAAACGTTTTATTAAAAGATTTAAAATCGTTAGATCTGCGCTGACGTCACACATTCAGAGAGGGCATTCTAATGCATTAGTCCCTCTGAATCCAAGTGCTGCAACTTTGAAATTAAATATTTTCGATTTGAGGTATTTCTCGTTCTTGTGAGTGCTCAAACCGGTAATTGCAATCCAGGGACCCCATTTTGGCTATCTCAACTCAAAACTAATGTTAAGGTGGGATGGTCACTTTAAACTGACCAAATAAGCTGATCTTACCCAAACAAAAAGAATATGTGTATCTTTCGGCGCGCCTGAGCACGGAGAACACGATGGTGCCAAAATCGCGGCTCTGTGGCTATTTTTGGCAAAGTTAGTCACCAAAAACCGAACCCGTACCTACCTTGGTACACTTGGTCTGACCTCACAGGTCACCGGTTGACCTGAGATATTAAAATCGGTTACCAGCCGGCAGCCATTGCGTTTCGTAACGGCGCACACGCTCATTTTCGCTAGACTCTAGCTCAACATAGGGGCGAAACTGCGAGTGGGCCGTTCCGTATGTGAGTCATGTTTTAAGTCGTAAGCCGTATTTTAAGTCATGCCTTACGTTGAAAACGAATCAAAGCTCTGTAGTGTCGACCCTAATGTCAAAAATGTAACTAGTTCCGTACGTCGCGCGCCAATGCTGAGAAGTGATCATTCTTAACTCCAAGTTGTAGCCATCAAATAATCTCGAAAGCATTTAAAATTGCACAATCGATATTTTACGTTGCCTGAAAATATAGAAATCATTTTTATACACCTCAGTTTTTAGATGCCCCCAGTGTAAATTGGTACCCCGCATTAAGGCCATTAGGAAAAAAAAATCCAAAATGAATACGTACGTACATAAGTTTCAGTTACCGTACATTATAGGTAACATTAATACCAGTAAAACGCCTTTTGGGCGAAGAACGAGCGAGCGAGATAGTGAGCCCTGCACGTGCGGAAGGGCGAGAGGGTACTTCCAACGGGCTTGTGCAAAGCACCCTTCAAGGCCCTATATACCAGGTAGGGTCGTCCGGCGATTCTACCTGATCGTGACGTCAGCTTGTGACGTCATCTGGGGGCAAGTCTTGAAGCCCCGTTTGAGTCCCATGTAAATGGGCGATTTTTGAAGCGCTGTAGAACAAACTCTGTTGGAGCTAGCATAAAACTAAGTGCATCATCGGAAAGACGAGACATTTTTCTTTGAATTATCTAAGAGCAGTTTTTCACTAAACCCATTAGTTTTTCCGAAAATGCGTACAAAAGCCCCCATGCCTCCGCAGCCTCCCTTCCGCCGGCCGCTGCGCCGCCGCGGTAGTGTAGTGGTTAGGATGCTTGCACCGTGATCCAAAGGTCGCGCGCTCGAATCTAGGCGCGGGTCGGACTCAAGTCGAAATTGCAAGCAGAATATGTGTTTTTTCTTTAAAAATCACTTATATTACAGCTAACCGTTCATAAAACTATCGATAACAATTGACTGAAAGCCAAAATATAGATTACATTCTTATAAAACAAATTCAAATATGGCGGCCGTTGCGCTAGGCTCCGCCGCCGACTCCGCCCCTTCGTGTGACGTCATCTGTGCACTTGGACACACAGGGAGATAGGGGACGACATGGGCCTGGCACCCTTCTAACCGGTCGCTATCGGTGTGCCAAATTTGAACGCAGTCGGCCCAGCCGTTCCTGAGATCTGGAAGCGGCATTCTGCACGTGCACATGTGCAAAAGGGGTCCAAACTGACTTTTGCACGGCACCCTACTAACCGGTCCCCAACCGTGTACCAAATTAGAGCGCAATTGGCCCAGTCGTTCCCGAGATCTGGAAACGCCCCCTGCACGTGCGCACGTGCAGTAGCACTGTAACCGCAACACATGGGGATGCATTGCCTGGTGGGTGCCTACCTGTATGCCAAGTTTCAGCGAAATCGTCCCAGTAAAAACAGAGTTATTGAAATGGGAACAAATTTGGCACCTCTTCTTTTTGTATTTTACACGTGCAGTGGGGGTCACTCACATAGATCAAGAGTATCCGACCTTTGGTAGAAGGGATGCAGCTACCCTACAAAAATTACCGCAAGACAATCGCCCAAGCGGCTGCTGAGATATGAGCCTCTCAAAATCACTACTTTTGCAAAACAGCTTGAACACCCTTGACTTTTCACGTGGCACGTGCCACGACGGTCACTGAGATGTGTCAAAAGTAGTCAATTACGGGGTAGAAGGGATGGGGCTACCCAGCAAAAAAGACCGGCCAAGACAAGACCGGCCAAAAGACAGGCCAATCGGTCCAGCGGTTGCTGAGATATAAGCCTCTCAAAAGCGTTACAGGCCGGGCCGGGCCGGGCCGGGCCGGGCCGCTCATACTGAGATTTTTCCGTTATATTGAAAAGACTCGCTTCGCTCGCTGCGCTCGCTCGCTCGTAACTAATGCTGAATAAATCTGAATATAGGTGCAAACGTAGGCACCTACTTTCGAGGACATACGAGTCTTGTTCAAAATATGTAGATAGGGTGGAAATTTTTTCAAGCTCAATGACTCACAAATAACTCATCTATAAGAAATCTGGGTAGCAAAAATCTTGTGACATTCTTGCCAGGTTACCGATCGGGACACATTACTTTGACATACGAATTACGAGTATTAGATTCTGCTGTTTGATTTGCTTTGAGGCCATGAGAGTTAATGTCATTTGGCGATATTAAGACGGTGGTAGCACTAGGCGGTAGGTGCTTATCGAAGTCATCTCTTCTCTGAAATATGTGTTCATTTTCGTTTTAAAAAATCCTAAATTTGATGGCACAAAGAGCGTTGATTCGCCTATATGTAGCTTAAATTGAATAGGTCAATATCAAAGGTCTTGAGTCAACTCATTTCCTGCTTTGTTGTTTTTTATCGTCTCTTGTAAGTACCAGCGTAACCTAAACCACCCTGTCGCAGCCAATTTCTCCAATGCCTGATCTGAAAAAATACTGTCGTGAATGCGAACCATTTTCCCCGAGAAAATTGTTTAGGTCTGTGCGTTTGAGAAAGGAATCGTTGATTTAAAAGGCCGTCAGAGTCAGGTCTTCCTCTGGCCATTTTGAGACGACAACATAGCTGTGACCGTAATTTGTAGCGGCTGTTTGGGATTCCATCGAGATGCGCTTTATCATTGCCTCCA